TCTGTCTGTCTTTCTGTGTCTTTGTCTGTCTTTCTGTCTGTCTGTCTGTCTGTCTCTCTCTCTCTCTCTCTCTCTCTCTCTCTCTCTCCCCCTTCCCTTTTCTTCTCTATTTATTCTCTCAAAGCCTCTCCTTTCAGCGGGCTAATAATGCCTGTTTCAAAAATAACCTGGGATCTTTCCTTCAACCCAGCTGCTTTGTTACACCTACTTTAAAACTCATGGTGGCAATCTTGAATCAACAGCAGCCTTACCAGATGACACATATGATATTCTCTGTAACAATATGTTCTGTGAACCATATCCTGTGGTCTGTCTTCTTTTTACCCCGCCCCTTTCTGTCTGTCTGCCTCTTCTATTTATCTCCCCAATTACTTCTATTCAGCTGGCCAATGATATCTTTCAGAAATCATTTTTAACATTGTATTCCTTCCTTCAACCCACCTGTTATCTAATATCTGTGGCAATCTTGAGACAACATGGGCCTACCAGACAATCTCTCTGTTGTTCCCCATAGCATATATTTCTGTAACCCATATCCTGTGGTTTGTCTTTTTTTTTTTACCACCAAATGTATATGTTAGAAGCCAATTTCTTTGTAACAGGAAAGTGTAGTGTAGACTTTAGAGTTAGCAGGAGCAAAGTTGGCAGGACAAGTCTGAAGGCGACAACACCACCTTGGAAGTTCTCCCAAGAGTTTTGGGGGTTACTATCTGTACTATTTATCATCTAAAATGTGGCTGTTGTCTTTGGTCATCATCATCATCATCTCACTTTTAAGTAAGTATTTATTTCTTAACAACATTTGACTATGTTTTTTTGGCTGGATATATGCTCACTTCTTTGAGTTCTTTGAAATGAGGCAGTGCAGAATCCCCTGGAAGATTTCTGAGAAATTAGCAAATTATCTGCAATGTGTTAAAAGACCTGCTTTATATCAGTGACAAATACATTCATCATCTATTATCCTTTTTAAAATGAGCATCATGATTTTATTTCTTCCACATTTTGCCCTTTCATCAAATCCATAAACCCTCCGTTCATCACCCCCCCCCATTTTCAACAAAAAAGTCCATAAAAGGTTTCCAGTTCTAATGAGTGTACTTATCATTTTTTCTCTGATTCCAACAAGTCAATGTTGCCCCTCTGCAAATTTTGCCATCTTCCGCAGCCATTCCATCCTTGTGGATATTTCAGTATCTTTCCATATTTGTGTGCATAATAGTTTCATGCAATAAGATCTAGACATGTCCCTTTTTAATACCAAAAAGACCCTTGCTTTTTCTTCTCCTCTGGTTCCCTGGTTTCTGGAAGTCATGTGGTGTCTCTCTGTATGCCTTTGAGTGTATTATGTGTTTGGTGGTGAGCATGATGAAAATAATATAAAACTGGGAAGGAATTTGTGCAGGGTTAATCAGCATAATCAGTACAGATGTTTGAAGACTGCAAGAATGTGGTTCATTGTATCACCATGGTTGTTTCTGAAAAGAAGAAGAAGGACCTACATACTCATTTCTCCAACTAACCTCATGCCTTCTGCATTATCTTCTGTCCAGGAGGAAGCAAAGGACAATCGGTGCAGCAAACATCTGGCATTTTGACAGTGATCTTTCTTTCTCAATTGTTCCTATGAAGCAAAGTTTAGTGACACCTATTTCACATTCTGGTATGTTCAGTCTCCTGGTCGGTCTCTGAGATTCCTTCTAGCATCTTATTGGAACAATTCCAAAGGATATCAGGCTATTCACATTCCCCATGAAAGCCAACAAAAAGGGACTTTCAGTTTATAAAGGCAAGCCAGTCAGCTGAAGGACTCTGCTGCCTATTTTTGTGCCTTCAGTTCCTTCAGGCACACAGTGAGACAAAATAGATGAGAAGCCAACAAAAAAAAGCACAAAAGGGGACAAAAATAATGAAGGTAAACTTAGAAATAAAAGTAATGGTTCATTTGTTATTATGGTCCCTGAATGTACATGGACTTAATCCAGATCACGCTTGCAGTGGAAAGGAGATATGGAAAATATTCTTAGCTCTTGTCTAGGGAAATTCTCAGTCATCCAGGTCATGGTTGTCCCAAAGGTTCCTTTTCAGATGGCAACTGTACTTTGTTTTTTCTTGAAGAGATTTTGCTTCTCATCCAAGAAGCTTCTTCAGTTCTTCAGTTTTCAACCCTGAAGAAAAGAGAAGCAAAATATCTTCAAGCAAAAACAAAGACTTTTGAAAAAGCACCTTTGGGATTCTTAGCTCTTCAAAATATTTTGGAGTAGAGATTCCTCAGGGTCTGATATGAAGAAGAATATCTATCTGGGCAGGGATAAGAGGAAATATTATCTAAACACCTGGTAGCACTTAGCTATATAGACAAGCACAGAGTTTAAGGTCCCTTACAATAGTTGGACTTGCACCCAGATAAACCTTACCATGGAACAGAGATGTAGAAAGTTATATTCATCTTTCAGGATATCTTGGGCTAGAAGTTCCTCATCATCTCATGCCAAGAAGAATGAACAATTGGACAGGGATAAGAGTAAAGACTAACCATCTGGAACCACTTATTTCCCTAGTTGTGCAGAGGACACCTTTAGGTCGTTTAGGTGACAGCATTGTGAGTTGTCTATTTGGAAGCACTTTGAGCTTCATATTTCAATTTTAAACCTTTTAGAATCTAAAATGACTCTTTCTAATTCACATTTCATATGATGAAGCTCTCTTCTCTCTCTCTCTGAAGGGCCTGATGGTAACCATCAAGGTCACCCCTGCAGGTGCTTAAAAAGGAGAGAGACTATTCCCATAACAAAAGGACATCTCGTAATTGGACAATGTGGTCACCCAGGGCTGGGGAGAATGGGAAAGTACTGTGCAGGAAAATCAGAGTAGGCTTTTGATTCTTCAGTACCAAAATGGTATATTCAATAAACTTTTACTTTTGGGAATTCAAAGCTCCTGAGAGAGTTGACACTCTCCTCTCTGTCTCTCACTCTTTCTGTGCATCTGTTTCTCTCTCTCTCTCTCTCTCTTTCTCTGTTTTATTTATCTTCCCATTTCCTTCCCTTTTAAGATGGCCAATTATGTATATTTCTTTTAGAGATCACCTCAAACAATGGAAACAATGAGGGGTTTTTTTACACCTAGTTGAAACACACGGTGGCAATCCTGAAACAACGTGAGTCTTACTGGATGACACACATGATCTCTTCTGTAGCACAAATGCTCTGTGAACCATATCCTGTGGTTGTCTTCTTTTTACCACCAAATTTACATCTTAGAAACCAGTTGTTTTGTAAAAGGAAGGAGCTGAACAGATTCTAAATCTCTTTCAAAGAAGAATTTGCAAGGATGCTCTAAAGGTGACACCAGCATTGAAGTCCTCCAAAGATATTTTTTGTTTAGTACCCGCATTCTTCATCTGGAAAAATGTGGTTGTGGTCTGTTCCCATCATCATCTCATTTTTAAGTAGGAATTTTTCCCCTTCACAATGTTAAACTATAGATTTTGGCTAGGCATTTGTTTGGTTGTTTGGGTTCCTTGAAATCAGATAGAATAGAATCCTCTGGAAAATATCTGGAAAATTGGTGGTGGAACATCTGCAAGGAATTATAAGAACAGGTGTAATCAGCTGGAACAAAAGCCATGTGTGTATATGTGTGTGTGTTACTGTGAATAGTAGGCTTGATGCAAAGAATGAAATTGTATAGGGTAGCCCTCATAATTAGATGTTTGCAGATAGCAAGAAACAGCACCAAAGATTTTTCTTTTTCTGGAAAGAAGGGCCTATTTGTCCATCTCCCCAAATTACCTCATGTCTTCTTCATGATCTTCTTTCTAGGAGTGGACCAAACTTCTAGCATTCTCATTGTTACTAAAGGACAACCTGTTTCTCTCAATTGCTCTTAAGAGGCAGAATTTCCTGTCACAAATTACCCATACTGGTACATTCAGCATCCTGGCCAGCCTCTAAAGACCTGGTTGACCAACCTTGACAACAAGGCCCAAGGCTTCCAGGCTACTCACTATGAAGACAAGAAAAAAGGGACTTTCAACATGAGGAAACCAGCCGTCCAGTTGACGGACTCCTCTGTCTGACTTATGATCATTTTTCATGCTTACGACCATGGCAGCATCCCCATGGCCACATGATCAAACTTCAGACACTTGCCGACTGACTCATATTTATGATGGTTGCAATATCCCTGGGTCATGTGATCAACTTTTCCAAACTTCTAACAAGCAAAGTCAGTGGAGAAGCCAGATTTACTCAACAACTGTGTTAGTAACTGAACAACTACAGTGATTCACTTAACAACAGTGGCAGGAAAAGTCATAAAAAGTGTAATTTACTTCCAGATAAACTCTAATACAGGAGAAGGCTACACAAAATTAATATTAAAATATTTTCCCTTCTATTTA